ACGTAGCAGAAAATTATTTTGAAAGCGTATGTTTCAGGAATGCAAGGTTTTCCTTTGTACAACTCAGAAGATCGAGGTATTCCACTGACTGAGAAGCTGTTGCCGGCTCATTTCAAGGATATTGGTTATAAGACGCATTTGGTTGGGAAATGGCACCTTGGAATGGCGAGCAAACAATTTTTGCCACAGTATCGAGGTTATGATAGCCATTATGGAATGCGCGGAGGATTCGTCGATTATTTGTCATACCATAAAGTGGAGCAGGTGACTCGTCAATATGTTTTATAACTTTTAAAGTTGTATTAAACTAACTTTTATTAAGTTTTTACATTGTAGTTACTTATTAGTAAAGTATGTTATTGCCGTATTCACAATATTTCATGAACGTTGTTATAGCAAATATCTTACCATTTCAGTGGCCTGACGGTACACTTTTGTTTGGTTTGGATTTATTTGACAACGATATCCCTCAAATAACTGAAGAGCGATATGTTGTGGACGCTCTAACAGACAGAGCTGTTGAAAGTAAGTAAACAAGTTAATAAATCACTAAAATACAATAGCGAATTTATTTAACAGCTTTGGAAATAAATTAATAGCGTAGCTTTATAATGTAAAATATATAGCAATTATAAAAGCGGCTATGTACATAATTGTTATATTTGCGATGTCTGACTAAAAGTTTAGAATTTTAATCGTAAATAAATCTTGAATAATAAAGTGAATATTTTTTATAATTATTAATGCTAATATATGATAAAGTCAGTATTAACTAGGTTTAACATTTTTATAATTCACCTTTAAACACTAACCAGTGTTAAATTCAATTTGTAAACGAGCTTTAAGAAGCAGCTTAGGATTATTTCTATCGACTTATTGCTCTATTCAGTCTGTAAGCTTTAAATATTTATAAAAAAAACAAATCGTATTTGTAATATTATAATTGCATTAAATTATAATGTATTAGTACTTTAAAATTTGCATTTATCTGTGATATTAATATAGTTATACCACGCCGCTCGCTTAAAAGACTCCACAATTATGGTTTTTTTTAAATTTTAAATATATTCTATTTTAGTTATATTGGGCCATAATTCGTCCACGCCACTCTTTCTTCACTATACTTCGTGTGCGCCACACGCGGGTAATGCTGGCGGAGCTTTGCAACCACCTCTATACAAAAAGCTTGGCAGCAGACACATTGCTAACTCAGATAGACGACTTTATGCAGGTATTATTTATTTTATTCTATGGCCTATGTTTATCACATTCTAACTGTGGAAATAATTATTCACATCAGTCTAATAATTTTGGAGCCTATTCAATAGAAACAAACGATCAAATCTTTCGTCTTTATAATATAACTGTAGATAATATTTTAAAGACAAAAGACGGCATATATTTTTTTTTTGAAACGACATTTCAGAGGTTGTACGACATTTTGACTACAGCGTGGGACGACTCGTCCGGGCGTTGGCTGATAAAGGCATTCTTCATAATACGCTTATCGTATTCGTGTCTGATAATGGTGCTCCCACTACAGGAATGTTCAGTAATTGGGGAGTCAATTTACCCTTTAGGGGCCGGAAACAAACTCCCTGGGAGGGAGGGGTAAGAGTGCCAGCCTTCATTTGGCATGCGGGCTTGAAACCAAACGTTTGGGATGGTCTTATGCATATTTCTGATTGGATGCCGACATTACTCGCAGCTGCTGGCAGAAAGTTTGATAAAAAAATTGACGGAATTAACCAATGGCCTTCAATATTACAAGGACAACAATCTCCAAGAAAAGAAGTGTTGGTCACTGTTGAAGATAGAGATAATGGATACGCAGCATTACGCATGGGTGATTACAAACTATTAATTGGAAATTTCACCGGAATTGCGAGCGCTTACTATGGAGCTGAATTCTTGGCAAATAAAGAAACACCGCCAGATTTTTACGACTCCTTGGCGTCGTCTGAAGTTGCTAAGGTGTTTTCAACTTTAGGAATTACTTTCGACTATGGGGACGTTATCGCTACAAGGAAAGCGGCAGTGGTGAAGCAAATAGACACGGTTAAAGATCAAGTCCCTTGTATACCAACACCAAGTAAGTACTCGTACTTCCTTAGATTTACAGAAATCTTTTATTTTTTATACCTATTTCTATTATTTATTTTTTCTGTATATATTTCATTACAAAAAATTAAACTTCCGACTCCATTTGTGTTCCATTTTGTGAAACATCTCATTAGGTTTAGTTACAATAACAATTAATTACGTATTTGACACAAGAGAGAATATATTTTTCAAAAACTGACAACGCACTTACTAGCCTTCTGGCAATGTGAGTGTCCATGTACCACAGAACATCAGGTGAGCCTCCAGTCCGTTTGCCTCCTGTACATATAACGTAATTATTTATTATTTTTATGTCTATTTTCTGTATCATAAATTTCTATTATTAATATAATTAAAATTAAAATTATTGTTGTTATAATTAACTTTATATATCTATTATTAATTATATTAATATTAATATTTATATCATTATAGCCCGTGGTTGCCTCTACAACCTTAAAAAGGATCCAGCTGAGAGTCACGACTTATGGCTTCGAGGGCAGAAAATCGTTTCCTTGATGACTATGCGACTGCGTTCTCTCTGGTCTCAAATGGTTAGACGAGGCCCAACCGAATTAAACATAGACGCAGATCCAGCTAATCATAACTATATTTGGTTGACGTGGCTCAACAATGTCACCCAAGAGAGCCCTCTCAACGAGAAAGAATTTTATAAGGATGCACCGCCGGTCACCGTCGGCTGTGAATGTGCGAATAACTGGCAAAATTTCTTGTGTGTCGTAAGGAGTGTGCTTCAATAGTTGGGTATAGAAATTTTAAAGATACGATATAATCGCGAAAATAGTTAATTTCGTATACGTACAAATAAATAGAGGCCTTAATAATTGTTATTTTTATATAAACTAGTCATCATCAGTGTAGCAGGCATTTTTTGTATTATCTAAAATCTGTAGCACTAATCAAAGTTCTTTTAAAAATTATGCCTTAAACGTAAACTTATTTTTTTAAATTACGTTTGATAATGCTATAAAATGTGTAAAGTGACTACAAAGTGTGAAATAAAATATTATGTATTTATTTAATACAAACCTTAAACAAAAAATACTTGATGTCCTTTCTCCGAATGCAAATCTAAGAACATTTAAAAAGAACGTAAATTTAAATAAAGTATTTGAAGAAAACTGTTTCGTATCTTATCGGATGATCAAGTACTTATCTTGATACTTGACACGAACTCAATTGTAACAAAAATATGTAGAAATCGAAAACTATCTATAAAAAGGACAAAATAGAAACAAGAAAAATTTTATACGTGGGCGAGGCATTATTAAATACACTACCATAAATTATAGAAATAAACTAAGTCATTTACATACATTTTACATACATACCTTCACAGTACGAGTGAGTATTAACTCACTAAACATCGTGCATCGTGAGGATACCAGCTCATATCTTAGAACATAAAATCAGCCATATGTAGGTATCAAGCAAAGAAACTTCTTTAGGTAAGGGGTAATAAAAGTATTATCAAAGCAGATGCTAGATTGGTAATCTTGCGCATAATCTTAATATTATTTTACCTCTATATTATAGTAGGTTTTTGGATAAAATTTTCAGGTTGGTACAAGATAGGCCCATATTCGTAATTACCAAGAAACATAACTGATAATTTATTGCGTATAAATCATATTAAGTACTTTTTCTAGGCGATAAGTAAATGGAGAATTGCCAACGTGCATCCACAAAATGTTAACGAGCTATGTTTTACAAAACCATTATAAACTCCTGTAAAATTATAATATAATACTATACTAGTTAAGTTTTCAAATAAACTTTTGTACTACTTGTGACATAGACAATCTTATATCAATAAATTGTTTTAAGTGATGAAGGAATTAAGAATATTATATAAATCTTTATAAATTTTGCTACAACTTTGTCTGTTTCATTTAAACATAAAATATTGATTATTCATAAAAGTTTTTACCGCTCCAGCCATGGGGTAAACATTTTTATTTATAGACAGCTTTGCAATTCTCTACTAAATCTTGAGTAACTATTAATAATAGACATTTGGAAAAAGACATAGTGCTTTATCACTGAGCCATGAAGACGGACACGCCTTTACGAACTGACTGACTTCCTAACGATCTTCCAACCTTTATTCGCGACTATTGTGTCAATGTTATCTTGTATATAACAAAGTTGTTTATCGGAATAATATGTTACATGGGAAAACTTGTTTTTATATATAAGTAAGTCAATGACGATTTTAATCATAATTTAAGTAATTGGGCTAAAATATAAATAATTTAATTTAAAACAATGAGTCTGTCACTCTTACAATTAAACCAATTTAGAATATCGTAATTTAATAGACTGCATATAACGTTCTACTTAGATGGAATTATTGGTAAACGTTTAGTATTGCAAAATAGTATCTATGCCCAGTTCCGCTGTAGCCCTCTGGAACTTAACTAAGATCCTGGAGTCGTCGGTAGAGAATTTACCATTTAGCCTAGATATAGTATAGTCCACTGAATTTCTTAGTGTGGAATATATATTAGCCGGGCACGGTTGCATCTTATCTTTCGTTTTTTTGTTGTAGCAAATTTAAATTCATTTAGAAAAATATTTTTAACTTCGGTTTAACGTTTTTCGGCTTTTTTTAGTTGTAGATACATTCATTAAAACGTTTATAACTAACATTGTCTACAGTGCGAGTGAAAATTGGAAAGGTCTTAGGTCAAGGGAGCTATAGTGAAATGGAGGATAAAATTTATTTGTCTGGTGACCCGCTAATACTTGTGTCATATCATTGCATAATTCTCTCGAAGAAGTTGTCGCCTCAGTTTGTTTACTATCAATAAGATCGACAGTCGTATTGATTGTATATGTCTCCATTGTAATACATGTATGCTAGTTTTGTTAAAATGTGTTTTTTAAGTATTAAAATTTTCTATTTATTATCATTTTTTCACTTTCTTGTGAGTGACGGGAAATTTAGCCGGCCGAATATAGTTCTAATTGTTGCTGATGACTTGGTAAGTTATTAAATTTCTACGGATTATTTATTAAAATATTTATAGAAATTACTACATTGAAATAATTTTAAAACAGTATTATAGATGACAAATTTATCATTTATTTTATAACAACAGCCAAAATAGTGTGATATTAAGCTACCAAATTTCAAAAGTGACAATAAGTCGAGAAAGTTTTTATTGTAAAAGAAACCTATCCACTGTTTGAGTTTGAACTATAATTTGATTAGCATATGAATACGTATGAGTTTCCATAACCTACCAATAGAGAATGGCAAACACATTTCTGCGTCTGTACTTAATAATTTTATGAGGTAAGTCGATTCCACTTAATCCTTCTGGACGAACCATGTCGTCGATAATTGATTTTCTAAGACATGCGCGATTTTTTACCGAATCGTATATCATGTTATTGGGAAATAAAGATTCATTAGCTGGTAATCAAATCCGAAATTCTGAAACTTTATTTTAGACGTGTATTCGTAATTTAATATGCAAAATATTTTCTTTATAATTTATTACTTTTAGGTAACAGTTTACTTAAATTTGGAGTAAAAATAAGAAAGCTGTTAAATTTTGTTTTTTGCGAAAATGTTACTTGTAAACTTTAAATTTAGTAAATAAATGATACTAACTCAATTTAAAAAAAAAAAAAGATTAAAAATTATAAAAACGCATTTCTTGTCGATAGGGTTGGGATGATGTCAGTTTCCATGGGTCCAATCAGTCTTTAACGCCTAATATTGATATGATGGCACTCACGGGTATAGCCTTGGAACGCTACTACAGCCACTGTGTATGCACACCATCGCGAACAGCCATGCTTAGTGGAAAATATGCTCACGTTGTAGGTAGGTGTAAAATAAGTAATTCTACCCTCTGATGTTTTTCTATTTGATTTTACTTACCTATCTAAAGTTAATTCCATTCCAAAGTCTTAAAAGGTGTTGTTAAATAAGTTGGAATAGTGCGATAATTTGATGTTTCGTTTATGTTTTTCACGCGGATGTACAATCAGCATCATATTTCAGGAATGCAAGGCTATCCCTTGACAAATGGAGAAGACAGAGGACTACCACTGACGCATAAAATACTACCACAGTATTTCAAAGATTTAGGTTATGTCACACGACTGGTTGGGAAATGGCATCTTGGACATTCGAAGAAGAAATATTTACCAACACATCGCGGATTTGACAGCCATTTTGGTCATAGAGGCGGTTTTATCGATTACTATGAATATATATTGCAGGAGACTGTAAGTCAATAATTGATCTAATACAAAACGACATCTATTTCACTCATTAGTAAAGCGTGTTATTCGATTCACGCGATAATTGACTTATATCGAGATTGCGTGACCATATCTAAAAATAATTTTCAGTTGAATGAACTGGTTTATCGAATATTTATGGTTGTTTATAACAAATATATTAAAAGTGACGGGGGGGGGGGGGGGGGGGGGGCCCACCAAAAAAAAAAAAAAAAAAAAAAAGGTAATGAAAGGTTAAGGGTTGGGGGGGGGGGGGGGGGGGGGGGGTATTTGGTAGTGGGCGGGGGGGGGGGGGGGGGTTTGTGACACCATGGGCGGGGGGGGAGTAACCCAACCCCCCCGAAAAAAAAAAAAAAAAAAAATAATAAAAAAAAGGTATTATGTGGGGGGCCCCGCCCCCGGGGGTTTGGGGCGGCGGGGGGGGAAAAAAAAAAAAACAACAACCAAAAAAAACAAACAAAAAAAAAATAGTTTTTTTTGGAAAGACCCCCCCAAAAAAAAAATAATTTGCACAGGCGGCCGGCGCCCCGGGGGGCCCCCGCCGCCCCAAACCAAACCCACCAAAAAAACAAAACAAAACCACAACAAAAATAGATATAAGAAAGAAAGAACCAAAAAAGAAAGGCTTACCCAAACCCCGCCCCCCCGGCGAGGCCCCGCCCCCCCCGGCGCCCAAAAACCAACAACCACCCCCAACCCCCCCCCACCCCAAACAAAAGTAGTAATTGAAAATAGAACCCACAGAAAGACTGCTTAAACAAACCCAGCACCACACCGCCCCGCAACCGCCCCCCCCGACCAAATACAAAAAAACAAACCCAACCCAACCCCACCCAAAAAAAAAGGTTTTAAAAAACACCCCAACCCAGGAAAAACACACACAACCACACCCCGGCACCTCGGGGCCCCGCGCGGGCGGGGGGGCCCGCCGACGCCCACACACCCCCCACCCACCCCAACAAAAGAAAATTGGTTTAGGGGCCCGCGGGGGGGGGGGGGGGGGGGGCGAGAGGAGTATGGGTTAGGGGCGGCCCGGGGCCGGGGGGGGGGGGGGCCGCATAGACCCCCCCCCAACCAACACACCAACACAAGGGGGAGGGTGGGGGGGGGGGGCGCCCGGGGGGGGGGGGGGGGGGGGGGGGGGGGGGGGGGGCCCCCCCCCCCGGGGCCCCGGGGGGGGGGCGGCCCCCCCCGGCCAAAGGGGTTCCGGAGGAAATTGTTTGGGGGGGGGGGGCGGGCCCGGGGGGGGGTTTTTTGGTTTGGGGGGGGCCGGGGGGGGGGGGTTTTTGGGGGCCGGGGGGGGGGACCCCCCCCCCCCCAACCCAAAAAAAGTTAAAAAAATTTTTTTTTTTGGGGCGGCCCCCCCTTCGGGTTTTTTTTTTCCGGCGCGCCGCGCCCCGGGGGGCCCTGCCTCCCCGGCCGCCAAAATAAAAAGCACAACAACAAAACCGCTTAAAAAAAAAAATGGGTTTTGGGGGTGGGGGGGCTGGAGGGGAAAGGGCTTTTTGGGGGGGGGGGGGGGGGGGGGGGGGCCTCCCCCCCTTACCCTTTTTACAACCCCAAGGGGGGGGCCCCCAAAGGGGGGGGGGGGGGGGGGGTTTTTGGGGGGGGGGGGGGGGGAAATTGGGGGTTTGGGGGGGGGGGGGGGGGGGGGGGGGGGGGGGGGGGGGAAGAAAAAGGGGGGTGGGGCGGTTTTTTTGGGGAGAAAAAAAAAAAAGGAGGTTATGGGGGGGGATTAGGAAAAAAGGGTTAAAAAAAGGGGGGGGTGGGGGGGGGAAGGAGAAGAGAGGGGAGAGGAGAAAAGGAAAACAAAGATAAAAAAAAAAGTTGTTATTAGGGGGGGGGGGGGAAGGGGGAGGTTTTTTGTTTAGGGGAGGGGAAAAAAGGGAGGGTGTTGGGGGGGGGGGGGAAAAAAAATAAAAAAAAAAAAAAAAAAAAAAAAAAAAAAAAATATTTTTTTTTGGGAAAAGAAAAAAAAAAAAAAAAAATTTTTTATAAAAGACGGGGAAAAAGGGAGGTTTGGTTTTCCGGGGGGGAAAAATATTAAAAAAAAAAAAAAAAAAAAAAAAAAAAAGTTTTTTTTTGGGGAAAAAATGGGGGGGGGCAAAGATACATATACTTATTACAAGCATTAAAAAAGTGTGCTTCTCCAAATACAGCAAATATTTGTGAAAGCCGAACGGCGGCGATTATCATATTTTTTTTAAATAATAAAATAATTAAGAATATGACTTAATAGCAAAGTATGTGTAATTGTATTCAGTAGTTCATTTAATTGAGAAGGAAATATTAATAAACTGTAAGCCTAAAATAGTCGAAGTATGTTTTGTCACGTCTAATTATTTGCAAAGAATAAGGAGAGAGCCCGAGAGTAATAGTGTACAATATTTAATAGTCGTTATTTTGTACGATTAGGAAAGGTATAAAAAACGGCACCCAATGAGGCATTATTACAGACATATTTAATTCTTTTTAGCCATATTTTTTTCATAGACGCTTGTGACTTTCTACAAGTCCCAAAAACTATCAATAACCTTTTCTCCAGAATTCATGATTTCAATAAACTAAACGTTATGAACTAAGAAACGGTAGTTTGCAAATGTTTCCTTATGTGCCTTATTTTGGGTGAACCACTAAGCCTCAAAGGTGGTAAAGGTTACTAAATTATTAATAATATTACTGATTATATTTTGTAGTGGTCTATAGGAGATGTCGCTGGCTTTGATTTATATAGAGATATGACCCCAGCCTGGGACGCCAAAGGTTATGTCACCGACCTTTACAATGCGGAAGCCAAGTCAAGTGAGTATGGAATTATCGTTAGGTTTTGGTTCAAAGGTTTCTAATCGATCGATATCCTAATGATAATGTTAATTATTTGCACAGTTATAATTTACTTATGTAGGTAAGTCTTATAATGTATATGCAGTTAATAAACGAATTTGTTGTAGATCAAAACGTATATTTTTAGTATTTATTTATATTCTAAATTTATTTCATATGAACAAATTCGCCTTTGTTGAAAATTCAATACATACCTTTTGGTAACTGAATCTGAAGCTAAAAGAATTAATAAAATTAATATTTAATTTAATTAATAAAATACTTTATGTTTACTTGTTTGAATGTTATACAAAATTGCCACTATAGTTTTACGCTCTGGTTTAATAGACGCGACGATTCTATGTTTGAATCACGAAAAATGCTTTTAGAAGGCCCGAACAATAGACAAAGAGACTCGGATGCATTGCGCGAGATACTTAACTTTTTTTCTGTTTACAGTAATAAGCAATCACGATAAAGACAAGCCGCTATTTCTAATGGTAGCACACAACGCGCCCCACTCCGCTAACATGGGAGCGCAGTTACAGGCTCCGCCGGAGACCGTGCGAGACATGCGATTTCTTGCCTCTCCACAAAGAAGGATATATGCCGGTACTGAAATAACCTCTTTATTAATAATAATTTGTACGTATTGAACCCTTGTGCATTTAACCTCTTGCAAGAGCACCGACGTCATTTTATTTGATTAGATTAGGATGAATGACTAGAAACGCAGTTAGCAATTAATATTCAAATACCTTTTTATTTGGTCGTAAACAGAATAAAATAGAAGGAAAAGTAAGGCGATTTAATATGACTTTGTACTGATGATAATATTATAAAAGTAGTACTCAATAAAATAGTAATTGACACTATAAATGATTTTGGCAGTTATTTCTTTCTTCTTTCTTACAGGCATGGTTAAGAAATTAGATGACAGTGTCGGAGATATAGTAAAGGCACTGCATGTAAAAGGAATCTTAGATAACACGATAATCGTATTTATATCAGACAATGGTGGTGCAACGACAGGTGCTTCAGTCAATTATGCATCCAATTATCCACTAAGAGGTATTAAGTTCACTCCATTTGAAGGAGGTATCAGAGTTAATGGATTGATATGGAGCAAGAACTTGACTAAAACTAATCATATATGGAAAGGATATATGCATGTATCCGATTGGATGCCTACATTATTAAAAGCAGTTGGTGCAACTCCACCAGAGGATATTGATGGCATTGATCTATGGGATAGTATCATCTCTAATAAGTCCTCCAAACGCAATGTTATATTCGAAATCGATGACTACAGTGGATTCGCTGCTATCATTGAGGACGAGTTTAAATTAGTCACGGGAACAATTGTGACTGAACATTGTAATCACCAAGGAAGAGAACTAAGAGGACTCACTTGTGATCCTCCTACATATAGAAAAGCTCTTACCGAGAGTGCTGTATACTCCGTCATAACTGAAATGAGTATTCCTTTTAAATTAAAGGATACAAAGTTGAGGGAGTATATGAAAATTGACTGTCCAGAGAATGATAATAGTGAAATTTGTTATCCGGATAAAGGTACTTAGCCCATTTTATCTCTAACTTTGTGTTGAAGACAAAGGAATTTGCAAAAGAGTACATTAATGAAAATATTGTCTTTTCAGATAAACGGTGTCTGTTTAACATAGAGCAGGATCCTTGCGAAACACAGGATTTATCAAGCACTTATCCCGATGTTGCTGATAGATTGTACTCCCGTTTACAAGACGAGATTAAAAGGACAATTCCGAGGAAAGTGCCGCTCCACAGAGACTTGAGAGCTGCGCCAAGTTTGCATAATTACACATGGACGATATGGGCTGACGAGATCGCATCTGAGTAAAGTTTAGTTAGCAGCTTAGAGAGGTGTTTAGTAACGCTATGCTACATTTTAATGACAATATGTTGTAAATTTTTATGTTTTGTTTAATGTACATTGAAAATTTTTAATCTAACAGTCGTTATAAAGTAGTGATTGGAAAAATAGATTCTATTTAGTAAGAGAATTTTTTTATATAAATTCATAACTATTCTGTATATTGTAAATAGTAATTAACCAAAGAGTAACCTTCATTGTTGAATATCATATATTGAGATGACGTGGGTTTTAAAACGTAAAGGCAATCCTATAAACTTCTGACAATAAACCATTTTTCATTTAGCATTTATTTTAAACTAAAAAAAATATCTATCTTTTTCAAAGGTTATTGTTCTCGTAGATATAAAGATTTGAACTTATTTATTTAAATTAATAAAACTCGTAATCTGTTGGTTTAAGAGTCATCTTATAACGAATTCAAAATGATGTCTTTATAAGAGTTGATAGTTAGCTTTCTTCTGATATTTCTTAACTTACTAGATTTAAAATTAATTCTCTTCAAATCTGAGACTGATAAAAATACTTTGTTTTGTTTTTATCAGTCTCAGTATCATCATCAGTCTTATTATTTGTACAAGTAGCGGCACGAAACTCTAGCGCTGACCGTTATTGCGCAGAAGTAAAAAATAAGGTACCTGAGGGGGGCTAGCGGAATGAAGAGTTTCGATTGGCTCTCCAGTCGCATTCCGTCCCCCGCGCGACAGTATACATGCGCAGAAATCCCCTCCACGTATCGGCCAGCGCAAGACTTACGTGCTGCTGCCTATACCAGGCGTGGTTTTCGTCTTGTGTTTCCGAACACTCATATTAAACTTTGTCCAAAATGAAAAATATTCCCGGAATTGTTACTGATCTTGAAACATTTTAAAGCCACCTTATATAGTTTATGTCCGTTTAAATATATAAAATACACTCGTTATCTACAAAAAAGTACAGTTGACAAGCGTGTTTTGTTTTATATCTAATAAAATTTAAGAAAGATCCGGGGTGAAACTACTTATTGCTCTACATATCAACTTTAAATCGAGTCTAAGAAATATAATTATCCCCATGCAGCGTTCATTAAATTGTAAATGGTATAGGAATGGCGAGTCATCTGAAAATAAAGATTCTTTACTCACAAAAATAGCTACTGAAACTATTTACATGAAGGACCTTACCCCGGCAAATGTGTCAAGACAAATGGGGTAAAATATTGTACGGATAACGAGCGGCATTGTAGTCCTGGTCAACATGAATAATATCGTTTTTCTGTTTTTTATGTTTGCATTATGCTCCCAGCCGCTTGAATATATTGCCTCTCGCATTTTTCCACTCTGTTAAAAACAATTATTTATTCATACCTGGTAGGTACATAAAGTCATAATGCATATGTTGTGTTTAGGTATATGCATATGTAACGTTTGATTTTAATTACGACGATACGAAATGTAATAAACGACTACTAATAAAAATTAACAAACATTGTACCAAACGTTAAGGTTTGAAACCAATGGATGTAGTTTATGTTTACTTAGTCGTTGTTTATTTTAATTACAAATTTATCAAAAATTAAACAATATTTTTCCTATGATCACAAATTAATATTAAGAACTTTGAATAAAATCTTCACGCAGTATCTATATTTCTTTAATTGTGATAAGCATAAGATTTACAAGGTGAGACTGTGTGAGAGCAGTGCTAAGCTTGTGGCCTCAGCGTGTGACTCCCATCCTGAGGAAGTAGGTTCGAACTCCGGCTGTGCTTTGGACTTAATGTCGATGCGCACCCTTTACACTTGCTTGTACGTAAAACATTGTGAGGAAACCGGCATGCCTCAGGGCATAGACCCAAAAAGTCGATTACGTGTGTCAGGCACAGAAGGCTGATCACCCACTTGTCTAATACAAAAAACACGAAATGCTAAACGTGGTTAAGCACCACTTTTTGACAATAGGTGAGACATTACATTTAAAAATTATAGTGATACGGCAGAGAAGTCAAGATTTTGTCACTGTTGCGTGCTAGTGTACTGTGCAAGAAATAATTGTGGTTCCTGGTGTTATCTAATAGACTGACGCTTATACATATATTTAAGTCAAGCTTTTCAATGTAAAACAAATGAATATTGTTTATGATAAAGTAAATACATCTCACCTTGTCCATGAGCATATCACTGTAGTAGCACGGAATATAAAAATGTAGAATAGCCCCAATAAAGAAGAAAACGAACTCCAAATTGAATTCACGATTTTTCAGAGACTAAAAAAGGGTTTTGTTAGTATACATATCTTTAAAAAAGAATCTTAAATCTTACTTACCTGAACGATTTGAAAAAAAGCAAATGGTATTAAAAATGTTGTTGTTTTTAAGTTGTATTCATATTGCACGGTGAATATATTTTGAACGGTTTTCAAAAAACTGAAAAAGAGAACATTCCTCAGTAATTAATATAAATATACAATAAATAAAATGTGTTAATAACAAGTTATTATATAATATAAATATTCGAGTAGTAAAAAATATTTATCATTTATTGACTGAAATAATGTTCTTACCTATATATTGACTGCAGCTTTCTATTTATGCTTCTCAAATTTTCTTTTATATCCGCCTCATTTTGAGAGAACAAACCCGTAATTCGTTGGCTTAGTAATTGCAGCTGGCCACACATGTGCAACATAAATATAGGAACAAGGGGATCAAATGCTACGTACATGGTCCCAGCGAAACAATCAAACGGAAAGACCAAAAGAAATAGCAATAGATAAGTCTTTGGTTCGTACTTATGAGCATTAATAACATCAGGATAATTCATATCAAATATAGGAACTAGTTTAAATTCTCCCCTGTAACTGTAATATGCCATTAAAACTATAGCCTTAATAGGAAACATCATGCTAGCACCCGCAGCAATAACTATCCAGATTTTGCAAATGTCCTTCCCCTTTTGAGCGTAGTCCAAAATGATAGTTTTATCGTCGTTGTTAAATTGCTTCGCTTCCTCATAATCGTTCTGTACTATTTTAATTAAATTTACAAGAGATTCTCGGTGATGTATTAGTATAAAAAACTTGATGACCACAGAGGTGGAAACTATTACAATCATCCCGTTCTTGACCCCTTCACCATAGTCTTCGTCCGGGAAATCGTGCAAAATCATAGAGTAAAGAAGAAAAAACAAGCAAACAACGCTGACGAAATACGAAAGAAAACCTTGAATTTTGCACAACATACTACGTTTTCCATACGGCCAGGATCTATTGAATCTCATTGCCATTGTTGTGATTTTAAATTCTTTATAGAAAATCAAATTTAAGTCGCTCATTTTGACGGCGATGGCGATTATGGATAATATATCGTACGAATAGCATTTTAATATGGATCTTAATGCGCCTGAGAATTCATGGATGTATTTGACATTGCTACTATACTTATGATAAAATACAGTGAAATATTCTGATTTATGAATGTAAAGTGTTTTTCATATTAAAGTTACAATGAGATATTTATTGTATACTCGAAGTTTGTAACGGGATTAGGATCTAAGGATACAAAATGGGAATTGTGAGGCGTTTTGAATACAAGAACGTGTAACTGAAACAACTCTGCAAAAACTCGGAAATGCACACATAACATAATTTTCTTCGTGTTTAAGGGATTCAGATTTGAGATAGTGTTAAGTATGACAACGTGTGATAAATATCTATACATAACATATTTTATATTTAGATGATATACGGGAGTCAATCTTCGCGCTAAGTGGCCGACTTATTTCGGGTTGTAATTGAGCACCCTCTTGCCTTAAAGGTTTAAAACAGATGCAAAAATGGTCTCCCTTATTCGAGAGTTTCCTGCAAATTTATACATAAACCTAAAATGCAGTTGCAGACGTACAAATCATGTTTTTTGAATAATAATCTAAATATACATTGCACGGACATTATGTAGAGAGCTTTAGTACAACGATAATACGTGGTTGGCGAACAATTCCATAAAGGGTTGCACTGCTGGTTCTGACACCTGACAAGTGACAGCTACTCGGTAAGCGAAATTACAGCGTAATCGAATTTCTTCCACTCACCAATCAGCAATCAATTATCACTACATAATATAGCACTTTAGACCGTCGATTGATTGTTTAATACAGAGTTTAGGTAATAGTGTTGAATACCACCGCACTTTTTTGACGATACTAATTATTTAGGAGTCTCGGGGGACCTTCATTGGAACACCTCCAAGTGAGTTTTGCTGCGGAAACGCGTCTAAAACATTAAGGTGAAAAAAAAAAACGGATTTCTAAAGGAAATTTTGCACTGTAAAACTGTTTACACACTAGTCTAGCAAAATCCACATTCAAAATGGCCGTTTACGTTTATAAAATTAATAGGGATGTGAAAAATAATCGATTTCTTTCAAAGTGAAAATCGATTTTTGTATTCGATTTTAATATTAAGAATAATTGAAAATCAATCATAGTTGATCAGTTTCCGTTGAACAGTTATTTTAAAAATAAATATTAATATACTAACCTAACCTAACCGATCTAAATAATAATTGGGTTTTTGGACAGCTCCGGCGCTACGGGAAATGCAGCCCCTCCACTCTTCCTTCGCGCCTCCGATTATTTATATACACTCTAGGGGTAAGGCAGACAAGACCACGTGGATAGTGGGGTGCTCTGATTCGGTTTTGGGTACTTTTTGGATATTAAAGTAAACACTTTATTCTAGTAAAAATTAAATAATACAGAAAGTTGCAAACAATGAAATACAAGTACTAATTAGGAAATACAGACGAGTAGGTATCGATAATTTCAAAATTTTCGGAACCCTATAATCTATCAACACGAAAATAGGTTAATTTCAATGTTGATTATTCTATAACTTTAAATTTCAAAAATGAGGAAATAATCGATAAATAAAAAAAAAACGATTAATAACGATCGATAAATTAAAAACACGATTTTTTAAAGTGAACGTCACATCTCTTATAACCAATAGAAAAGTAGAAAATGGCGGATTGTTTACAAATTTCAATACATTACACAAAACTTTAAACTTTTGGAAAAATATTTAGACGCGTTTCCGCAGCAAAACTCACTTGGAGGTGTTCCAATGAAGGTCCCCCGAGACTCCTAAATAATTAGTATCGTCAAAAAAGTGCGGTGGTATTCAACACCCAACCCCAGATTTTATATTTAAAAATACATACACGTGCTCATGAGCTTAAGACGGTACGTGCTTACAGCGTGATAGTTCTGGGTTTGACACAATAAATATGAAATGTGATATAGTTTAATCTACTTCGGCATTATTATAAAACGTGTACCATATTTACCACGTTTGTAACCCTTATTACGATGTTACTTCTATGCAAATAATCGTAACCATGGCAACATAAACTTTTGTATTCAAATATAGAGAAAAAAAATTAAACTACTAGGCACTAAGTTATATTAGATTTAAAAAAAAGTGCGTGCGTACAAAGTACACATGTCAGAAGTGAAACTGCTTTGGCAAACAAATTTTTAACTCTTGTTCATATTTATACATATCTAAAACTTAAGATTTCCGAGACATACAGGTAGGGAAAAAGGAAGATATGTTAGGAATTTTATTGTCATGAAAATATTAAGTGTCGAAAATTAATACAAATAATAAATTTAATTTTTGAAATTTATTTCTTCGATAATAAATACACAAGACATTTTAATTTACAATTCGTCATTTGAGATTTCAATAAATTATTAGGCATATGAAGGGGTCAGGGGAAAAACAACTTATGTCACATTTTTAATTTTTTTCAACTGACAATGCAGTCTGAATGGTAATATCTGTCGCTAAGTTCTGTCAAAAACAACAGGGCAATAACATCCATAGTCTCTGCGCTTTCAAACTTTTAAAATATCGGTACAGGGAAGAAACACCCAATGTCAGAACCGTGCAGGAAAAAAACAACCGTTATCCGTAAGACTTTTAGGTTATATTTTTTTATATATTTTTTTGTTTGTAATAAATTATTTTTTTACACAAAATGTCTGACGAAGAGTGTAATGTTTTGATTGTGAAAAGTCTAGTAAAAAAAAAAAACTTACGGGCGAATAACAGAAGTTAAATTAAAGTAGAGATGGGGAGAAAATTTTAATTGTAACGGTACAAGTGTTTTGATGTGGTAAATCTAGAACAAGAAACAAAATTCTAAGAGATTTTAACCTCCTGCAGACCCGTGATGACCAAAATTGATATTTGTGTTGAAGTGCCTTGGTGACACAATCGTTTTCCCCTGAGTTGGTGGACAAGGAAGATTTTAACGAGAATATTCTGACTCAGTCACAATTTTTTATTATAACTCTTAGCTGATGTTAAGTCAAAATGAAAAAAATAATATATAATACAATAAACATCCTTTCAATAAAAAAGCTTTTCTTTGTTGGGTATAAAGTCACTCTTTTTTTTTTTGTTCCCCCCTTTTTATTTTTTTTTTTTTTTTTTTTTGAAGATGGGAGCAAAATGTTAATACACCGCCGCCCATGGCTCCAATGCCAGAGTACAGGGGGGGTTGCCCGCCTTTTAGATGTACGCTTTTTCTCGAAGGACCCTAGTGAATGTTCGGAAATCTTCAGACAAAAAACGCCTGAAAATTCTGAAGACGAGGTGGATGCGGGTGGAATTATCTTCTCGAACTCAGCTGCAGGTGTTAACCCGAACAACTCCTCTGACCAAAATTGATTGTTTGTTCAAGTTGAAGGAGCTGGTATGGGAGCTCGCCTGAGAGCAGTACATCAATTTTTTGTTTTTTTTGTTGCCTGCCGTGGCGGCGGGTGGCGCCGCCTCGCGGACAAGCTTTTGGAGGCTAATTTAGCGTTGGGGGCGGAGTTGGGCTGCAAAGTGGGGGGGGGCGGGGGCGGGGGAGGAGGCCCCGCCCCGCGCTGCAGAGCACGCGGGCTTGGCTTCTCCCAAGTGACCGCGAAACTGAACGTCGTTCGATGTTGGTGGACATAGGATGATTTTTAACGAGTATTCTGACTCTGTCTGAAGAGTGGTTTCGAAAAGATCTCAGTCACAAGTTTTTCGTATTCATCAACAACTGCCTCGGGAAAAATCTGTGCCGGCAGAGTAAAGTATCCCCAGTGTGTCATCTGAAGTCAAAATGAATTGCTAAGTGCAACATATCATTGATATTAACAAGAAACATCCTTGGTCCAATCCCAAAAAAGCTGGAAGCGGGTTTTGACATTATTTGTACCGGGGGGGGGGGGGGGGGGGGGGGGGGGGGGCCACCAACCCCCCCACAAGGGCTTTTCCCTTTTGCAAAATTTCCCGCCAGCGCCTCCCCTTGGACTCAATTGCCTCTGCCCACCTATGGGTAAGGTATAAAGGAGGTCACAGCTGAGCGACCACGACGAAAGCCGTACTGAGAATCGCTAATCAACTGGTGGCCCTCTGATACCACAAGAGCTGGCATTATAATGGTTTCCATTATTTTGGAAACAAGGAGTTATGGTCGAAGTTGTGCGGTAGTTGGACGGATCAGAGCGATCGCCCTCTTTTTTTTTTTTTTTTTTTTTTTTTTAATTAGTAATATCTCAGTTTGTTAATTATGTGACAAAGGTATTTTTCCCCTGACCCCTTCATATAATATATAAAATACAAATATTTCATAAATTCTCTTTACGAAGTTTTAATTTAAAAAAAAATTCTATAAGGTAATTCACCCTTCTCACTCTCTCTCAATCGGTATCAATAGCTCTCTCCCTTTTCATCGACAAAAACGCTGCACATCTTCGTCTTTCCGTAAAAATTTTACCCTCATGCGCCTAAAGAAGTTTCACTTCAATAATTTAGAAGGTAGAGGTGACTCGATTATAAAAAAAGTGACTCTACTAAATATTCTAAAGCAAGGTCCAGTGGAAAGCACGCGCAAATAATTAAGTTTTATTTAGTCCTTTTGAATTTACAAGAAGCTATTAAGAAAATTAAACGTTTCGTGTCGTTTAAGTCTACTTCAGGGTAATTTGCCAAGCTTTCAACGGCTTAATATATATAAATGTTTAGGGTTAAATATTAGAAGTCCCTAAGCCTTAGGCCAAGTGACGAATTTTACTTAAGTGTATGTAGATACACTCTATGGAATACGATTAAATATTACAGTAAAATCTAAAATAAAAATAAAAATTAAATGAGATGTGTTTTGTCTTAATACCCACGAATTAATACAATAGGCATAACAGAAGTACTTAAGGAGACATATTTTTACTATAATTTCATTTATTATACTAGAAAAATATTTTTTTTATATAACGGGGAACAATCGGACAGTAGGCTA